ACATTTAGTTAACTTAATTCATACTACCCCAGTCAGAGTATGACACAACCTTAAATGATAAATCTCTATTTTGTCCTACTTAAATGATAATAAAATTTCAGCAATAACAAAGATAATAATTATAGTAGTGTTCTATAGCTATAGTATTGTTATTTGCGCTCCATAGCTATATTTTGTTTGCTATAGAGCCTCTAAATTGTATAAATCACGGCGCTAATTCGTATGTGTCTATTAAAATTGTGTTTGTATATTTGTTTCAATTTGTATATGTATATGCTCATGTTCTTTGTGTTAGCCTTGTCAAATTGTATGTGTATACAAATATATAAATCCCAACTGAATGGCAAGAAAAGCAAAACATTAGCTGTGAAATAGAATTAAATAAAACAATAGTTATAGCATTTAATTTGATTTATATGCTTGCTATTATGTACCATTTTACCTAATTAAAATACAAAATTCCATCGCAAATTTTTCCGTGGGTATTTCAACAGAAATATGTCTGAAAAAAATGGTGATTTTTTAATAGAGCAAACTACCTAAATCCCACTACTTTGGACCATAATTACATGAAATTCCGGTAGATTTTCAAATTACTTTTTATACCATTTTTTTCAGTCGGATACATGAATTAAAAGTGGTTAGATACGTGTATCTATCAGAATTAAAAGGAAGAGATACATTATTTAATTAATTTCAATTAAATAGTGTAACTTAATTCCATGATTAAAGAAGTAAAATATGGGGATTTAACAAATATACAGATTTGGTGGATCAATTCATATCAATTCTTACAGGTTTTTGAAAAAATACTAAATCACACAGATTAATAGATCTGGTGTTGTAAACTTCGTCTTCTTCACCGATTCATTCCTTTGAATCCTAAATTTTCAAAGTTTTTTTTTTTCAAATTGCGAATTTAACCATATTGTTAAGGTATTCAGATTCGTGGATCTCCGAAATCGATTACGAAAATTATAGAATTGATGGAATACTATTGAGAGGGATGCAACCTACAGTGATTTCGTCGATGGTATTTCAACACAACTAGAAATCGATTGTTCACTCAAAAGAATGGAGATAAGATACACGATGGAAGACAATGTAACTCCAATGGAAATTCGAAACGAGATGTGCATGAGATTTTTTATGGAATTGAAAAGACGTCAATCTAATTGCAGGTTGTATCCATTGTACATAACAACGAAAGAGCAAAATTTTGGATGCAACAACATTGGTGAAATATCTTTTGACCAAGATACATCCATTGTTGAAGTTGGAGGTGAAGTTGGAAGTGACGTTGGGACAATGGTGAAATATACTATTGTGGCTATAATGCAAAATTATTAAATTAGACAATTGATTTCAATTCAAGGTTACAAGATTAGATAAGAAGAGATTAGTCATATTCGTTGTTTTGTTGGATACATGATGTGTATGTTTTTGTATATTTTAGAAGCATAAATGTGTCATAAGTTAGTGTATCTCGGATAAATAAAGTGTATCTTGGACAAAATATTGTATGTGTCATGTTAAGAGAGTAAAAATCTAATGTTGAAGAGTGATAAAGGTTTTTGTAGCATGAATATTTTATAGTGTGTATCTCGGACAAATGAAATGTATCTCGAACAAATTAAGTGTATTTCGGATGTATACATCATCATTGTTAAAATAAAATGATTGAATGCTGATGAGTAATAACGGTTTATGTAGCATTAATATTTTGTTGAGCATGTATCTTAGATAATAAGTTATCACTAGGGGTGGGCGTTCGGTTCTTCTGTTCGGTTTAATCAAATTTCAGTTCGATATTCGGTTTTAGAAAAGTGTGCACCATATTTCAAACCAAACTAGATCGGTTCGGTGTTTTTAAATCGGTTTTTCGGTGTCAACAAAAATAAAAAGAGAATATGATAAAGTAACAATTGTTATTCAATTCACACTTCAAACTTCAAAATAACAACTAACCATCTAACAATAGAAGGTAAGAGCATCAATTTGTTGTTCTCACTTCAAAGTAAAAACATAAAATGATAAAATCATAAAGTAGAAAGTAGAAACACCAAGTTGCTGCTCAAACTTGAATTAAATTGAGCTTTGTTTAGTTTAGACTTTAGGTCTTTATGGTTTACTAGTTTGTTATTAAGATTTTTGCTATTTAAGTTTAGGATCTAAATATAAAAATTGAAATGGGCCAATTAAGTAAAGTTAAAAATTAAGTAATATAATAAATACTTTTAAATTTATTTAATAAAATTTCGATTCTTCGGTGCACCTTAGTTTCGGGAACCTTACACTGAACTCCGAACCGAAGAACCGAAGTTCCGAAAAAAAAAACCCAACACCGAACTGAAACACCGAAGAACCGACACAGAAGAATCGAATTTTTTCGGTTCGGTTCGATTTTTCGGTATTTATGCCCACCCCTAGTTATCATAGATAAATGAAAAAATTGTCATAATTTAATAGTGTGTATCTCGGACAGATAATTTAACAAGATTCATACTATTTTGTGAATTATAAGCCATTAAAATAGTATGAAGAACTAACAAATTCAACCAATGAAAAATCTCTAAATTTGAACTTTGAAACTACTATATCTTTGAATCAGATACATGAAGATGGTGTCAAACAAAGATACATTAGTTGGTTAAAAAAGTAGTACAAACAAATATGTATTGAGTTGGTTGAGAAGAAGGGGGTAATGGAGGATGAAGGAGAATAACGTGTAGAAGTGGGTTGAGATACAAGGGAGATGTGTGATTGGAGAGGGAAACTATTGTGTTGAAGAGAGAGAAACGGATTTGAAATTTTGAATTGTAAAAGTCTCAATAATTAAGGAGGTATAATCTTAGGATACCTATTAATTACCATATTTAATAGGATTGTATATCTGATTTAATTTTTTAAAATATATGGTATAATTATTAAAAAATGGTATTATATGTAATATTGTTAAACTAGTGGTAAAATATGTATTTATGGTATGGAAGTATGTTTAGATAAGTAGTATTTCCTTTTTAGGAATATGCCTATTCATGGTTAGATTTGTTACGGTCATCGACTTGATAATAGATTCTTAGCTCAAGTTGGACAGTATTTTTACGGTTTGGGCCTGCGTACCATATTTGCTTAACAGCCCATCCCGTGAAAATAGGCTGGTAGAATAGTAAATGGGCCAAGTATTTGTTTAAGGCCCAAGAAGATGTGGTCTATTTACTATTGTCATAAAGCTATATTGGTAGCAAAAACCAAAGGAGAATGTATACCTCGAAGTTGATTTGATGTGAATTTAAGAAACAAAGAAATGTTGATTAGCTTAGATAAGTTTTTGAAAGTATCGATAAGTTATATATATATATATATATATATATATATATATATATATATATATAGTACTAGACTACTAACCTTGTTTGTTTAGTGATATCGTTTTTTTCTATTTTCTTTCACATTCGATATTTCTTACTTGATCCATGTTGACTTATTCATCTTAGTAGTTTATTTTACTGAACTAACTTTATTTATCATCCTTTGAAAATCTAAATAAAGTATCTTTTCTTGTGAATGTACCAACTTGTGCTTAATTAGTTATTTAATTGAGATTCTATATTCCAAACAGAAGGCATCATCACATATATTTTCTTAAGGGATCACAAAGTGATCTTTGCATCGCTATCTTTTTATTAAATAATTTCCAACTATTTTTTACTTCGAATCCACGCTAAATAATGTTCATCCCTTTTAACCAAACGAAATTGTGATTATTTTTGCCTTTGTTTGTTGTAAGGGGGAACTTTCCATTATTACATCTTCCTAATTCCTAATAAAGTTTTCATTTTTGGAAATTGATACTCATTATTAATCATATAGGAGAGAAACATTATACATTATTGAAATTACAAAAAAATATTAGATATCATAAAATATTCATGACAAAAATTCATTTTGACTCAAACTAGACTGCAATTTGAGTTCAATTGATCTAATTGAATCTACTCTTTTTAATTTTAAAAGTGAAATTTATTGATTGATGGAAAATAAAGATTGAAACTACTATAACAACACACCACTAGAATTCCATAAACGTGGTCTATGGAGGGTAAGAGTGTACACAAACTTTACCACTATCTCATAGAGGTTAGAGATTATTTGCGAAAGACCCTTGGCTCGAGTGCAGTAAATCCAAGTAAAAAGCAGAAGAAAACAATATAGAAAACATAGCAACTAACATGGTGAACCAATAATAGTAGAATAACATAGTAAACAATTGACGATGCAAGATATCAAAAGTAAAAACTACAATAATACCAGGTATAACAGGAACAAAAAGGCAAATATTATATGAAAAGTCTAGTATTTTGATAACCCCTAACTACCTACTAACTGTCTATCACTATCCCCGATCTCCATATCTAAGGTCATGTCTTTCATAAGTTGAAGAGATGTCATATTATGTCTAATCGATCACCTCTCTCCAATACTTCTTCGGTTTACCTCTACCTCTCCTTAATCCCTCTATATACAACCTCTCACTCCTCTTCACTAGGACATCCGTACATCGCCTCTTCAACTATTGCTTTTAAATATTAATCCTTCTTTTGTGCAGGGACAAATCTAAGAAGGAGCGAGTGTATTCATATATCCGAACCTTATCACAATAAATTACATTGTATATATAATATATTTTTTAAAAGTATATATAGAGATTTTGAATCACTTGAACATAACGCCAGAGGTTGTCTCAGTGATTAAGAGATCCAATATTCATTTTGAGGTTTCAAATTAAAGCTAAATCCTAGGCACTAGATTTTTGTTTTTTCATATCTTTTAATGAAAATTCTGAATCTACCACTACTTCTTCGGACATGTTTGACTCGACTAATTTAATCCTATGTTACACATGTTTGCAATTGGTCACATTTACAAAATCAAATATACGAGAGGTCAAAATATTTCAATTTAATATTCCTAATTTTTTTTATTGGAAAAGTAAAAAGGGAAGATTGGTTTATATAAAGTGCATGAAAAAGATACTTTCCAATTGATTTTTTTTTTTTAATTTTAAAAAAGAAGGTATCAAAAGATGCTAGATAAGACATAAATATATGCAAAGGTTGCTGATAATGGGCACTCTCATGTGCCTAAACAGAAAACACTAAAGTCTAAAGCCACCTATCAATTTCCTGCTGGGACATGATGAGCATGACAATAATGTAAAAAGGCCAAAAGGGGTTTCATTGATTTATCTATTCCATCCTAACCATCATATTATTTTGTCTAATCAATGTTTATAATATGCGTGTATATTATTTGGTTTTTGGCCCTAAGCAAATAGAAGTATCTTCTCTTTTCTTTTTCACATTATGTCCGATGCTCACATTAAAATTTAGGCCTAAAATTTATTTATTTTGAATTTGAGCCGTGCAAAATTTTATTCGGGGAAGAAATGGAAATATCTTGGATGTACATTGTATAGTTTTACTAATAACAAGACATCTCATTCGTTGGTTTATTTTATCCAACTAAATGCATGTGTTAGGCTCTTATTATCTGGGGTGGAAATAAAAATCTTTGCCTTGTAAGTTAAATTTTTTAAAATTTTGAATTCATTAGATATTTAACAGATTCATATCTATTCTATATTATAATTATAATAAAATTGTATATGTAAAAATTTATGCTTCATATCAGAAATACGGAGTTTAAGTAAGTTTGATAGTTCAAAGTTCCATTACATCCACATTACCACACCAAAAAGAGTGAGTTTGACCATATGACCTCCAAATGAAATATTTATTCATATATTTACATTAGAGATAGAATAATTTAATTTTAAAAGTAATAAGTAATTAAAATATAATTCATATCACTTCAATAGGGACCATCTTAAAAGATTTAAATATTTATAAATAGCAAAATAATACCGTGAGAGAAGAATGAAAAGAATTCTCTTTTTTTTTTTTTAGGCTTTGCATTGTTTCTCTTGTTAGTTGTTATAATTTACAACTGTTTTTCATTCTTTATATATGAAATTGTTGCACTTGAGTCGAGGGTCTATCATCGGAAACAAACGCTCTATCTCACGAGATAGTAGTAAAGTTCGCGTACATCACATCCTTTTCAGATCCTACTTATGAAATTTCATTGAATATGTTGTTATTGTTGTTACATATTAATAAGACCTCAAACTCTATATTGTCGTGTGTCTGTGTAAATCAAATACTCCTAGTTTTTAGAAAAAAAAGACAAAAATAAACTCCCTAATTTACTATGCTTTACGATAAACAAATACTGCTAGTTTGTATGTAGATATATCTATTGGAATTTTTACACATAGAATTTAACAATTTTACACAATTTTGCTCGTGCAATTTTACCTTTTCTAGTAGATATACATAAATTATACAATAATTATATACATACTATACATATATCATATACATGCTAATTATTTTAGTTTCAACAGTTGAGTGGACGTTTATTTAGATTATTTTTTAAAAAAATGACCTATTTTATTTATTTAATAAAGCCATTATATAATGTGTAATCAATGTATGCTCATCCATGTATATATACATTATGCACTAGTTATATATTCAGTAAACAAAAAATTGACAATTATACCACTATCATTCCAAGCGAGTGAAATTTTCTTAACCGACTTGCTATAACTTTTAAGATCCTCAAGCGTTAGACAAGTAATAGGAAATATTAAGTGGTCAGATTGTTTTACACTTAATCAAATGTTTTGGATTGGAGTCCGAGTATGTATCCTGTAATACATAATCCGAATTTAATTAGGACTTCGCTACGAACTTTAAAATCAGAGTAAAAACCAAAAACAATAATAGGAAATATTCATAGCTTTTAAGAAGAGCATTTAATTATTCAAGTACACTAATGAAATAGAATGCAAATAATCATGTGATTCATAAGAATGGTCTTAAAAATGAATGAATTTAAACTTTTGAACATGTTTGTTTAATGATTAATATTTTTTATTTTAAAGATTTGTCCATAAAATAAGTAGGAATCAAACATTTAAGACGGGTAAACCGGGTGTTTACATCAATTCAATACATGCATGCCATTTGTTTAAATTTATAGTTCATTTTACTTAACCATAATTAATTTACATGTGTTTTACTTCATTAAATCACGTAATAATGAAAATTGCACTGACTTGGTGTAAACACCCGATGCGGGTAAATTTTTTCCTTTAAGACTGTTCATTATAAAAATTTAGGCTAATTTTCTATAGGCCAAACACATATACCACTCCTTTAATTTGTTTCTGAATTTTATTTTGGCACCATAGCTCAATCTTGTTTCACTTTAACACATCAATTCATTTTTTTTTAATATACCATTTAAATACAAATAGAGATATGAAATGGACTTGGAGAATTAAAATAGAATAAAATTGAGTTGAAGTGCTAAAATAAAATTTAAAGACAAGAGATTGAATATATATTAGGCATTTCCTATTCACAATCATTGAAACTTCAACTAGCCGTTGTAGCAAATGGATTACAATTCAAAAATATAATCTTCTGGTTGAATTGACTTATTTTAAATATTTTAAAGCTAAAATAACTTTGAAACAATTCTATAGTGTTAAATAATTTTAAAAAAATATTTATAAACACTTAATTATAAGCTAAAATAACAAAATATAAGTCAAAATCCATAAATTAGAAAACCAATCCAAACAGGGTGTCAATTGCATATCTCAAAATATAAGTTGCTGATGATTCCGAATTGATTTTATACAATAATTATATACATACTATACATATATCATATACATGCTAATTATTTTAGTTTCAACAGTTGAGTGGACGTTTATTTAGGTTACTTTTTTTTAAAAAAATGACCTATTTTATTTATTTAATAAAGCCATTATATAATGTGTAATCAATGTATGATCATCCATGTATATATACATTATACACTAGTTATATATTGAGTAAACAAAGAATTGACAATTATACCACTATCATTCCAAGCGAGTGAAATTTTCTTAACCGACTTGCTATAAATTTTAAGATCCTCAAGCGTTAGACAAGTAATAGGAAATATTAAGTGGTCAGACTGTTTTATCTTTAATCAAATATTTCGGATTGGAGCCTGAATATGTATCATGTAGTACACAATCCAAATTTAATTAGGGCTTCACTACGAACTCTAAAATCAAAGTAAAAACGAAAAACAATAATAGAAAATATTCATAGCTTTTAAGAAGAGTATTAATTATTCAAGTACACTAATGAAATAGAATGGAAATAATCATGTGATTCATAAGAATGGTCTTAAAAATGAATGAATTTAAACTTTTGAACATGTTTGTTTAATGAATAATATTTTTGATTTTAAAGATTTGTCCATCAAATAAGTAGGAATCAAACATTTAAGACTATTCATTGTAAAGATTTAGGCTAATTTTCTATAGGCCAAACACATATACCACTCCTTTAATTTGTTTCTGAATTTTATTTTGGCACTCTAGCTTAATCTTGTTTTATTTTAATACATAAATTCCATTTTTTTTTAAATATAGCATTTAAATACAAATAGAGATATGAAATGGACTTGGAGAATTAAAATTGAGTTAAAATGCAAAAATAAAATTTAAAGACAAGAGATTAAATATATATTTGGCCTTTTCTATACACAATCATTGAAACTTCAACTAGCCGTTGTAGCAAATGGATTACAATTCAAAAATATAATCTTCTGATTGGATTGGCTTATTTTAAATATTTTTAAGCTAAAATAACTTTGAAACAATTCTATAGTGTTAAAAATTTTAAAAAAATATTTATAAACACTTAATTATAAGCTAAAATAACAAAATATAAGTCAAAATCCATAAATTAGAAAACCAATCCAAAGAGGGTGTCAATTACATTCCTTTCATTTCTTTATTATAATAATCATAACTCCACCTACTTTTTTCTAAATAATTTCCGGTCTTCCACTAACCTTCTCCATAATGTTTCTAAAGGTGCATGTTTTCAATTTTCATTAAAAAAAATTCATATGTATTTAATTTAGTATTCATTTTGAATTACGATTAATTTAAATTTGCATAGAAAAAAATCCACTTTAAGATTAGATCAAAATTGACTCTACTTTTAAGACTCATACTCAAACTTTCTAATTAAAAATTAAAAAAAAATACTTATAATTTCTCTATGATATCTGTGTTAGCTAATCTATACATATTTAAAAAGTTCCCCATAAAAGTATTATAAATCATGCTATATACGCTTGAAGGAAAATATCAAATGATTTTCAATATATCTCTTAATATTATTGTCACTTTTCTCAATGTTGTTTTCATTTATTTCATAAAACAACAAAAATAGAACTATTTTATTTTATTGGAACTTTTAAATTCAATCAAGCTTTTACAAGTAGTAAAAGGAAGAAATAACACCAACAAGGATTGTGATGGAGGGGTAAATATTCTTTCATCTATGATTAAACGTCTCGAGATCGACTCCTTAAAATTCGGAGTCATCTTTGTTAATAAGTGTTTTACCCCAATATGGGACTTCTGAGAGTCGCATTTGTTAGAAAACGTATTACCGTTAGTACAAAATTTCTCAACACGAATTCGAATTTGATTAGACTCTGAAAATCAGACACCAGATTGAAAACCAAAAACCCAAAAAAAGAGAAAAAAATAATATACATAAAACTATAAGGGCTCGTTTGGTGTGAGGGATTAGAAATAATAGTGATGGAATAAGGAAATAGTGATGGGATAAAAAAAAAATTATGTTGTTTGGTTGGCAAGTCCGGGATAACTTATCCCGGGATTAATAATTAGTACCGGGATAAGTTATCCCTCCCCATGGGTGGTATAGTAATCCCGGGATAACTTATCCCGAGATAGAATAGGTAAATGACAAATATGTCCCTTTAAATCCTTTTTATATATCATTTTTTACATTTATGTATATTTACATTTTTTTTAATACCATGTATAATAATATTT